ACGACCAAATTTCATGACAAAGTTAGAGAGCTGGCGTGATAGAAATGTACCAAAATCATTTCTTGCTGATGTATTTGATGGTAGACTATGGAAAGAATAGCAGTATGTAGATGGAAAACCTTTTTTAGCTGCAGCAAAAAATTATGCTTTTATGCTTAATGTTGACTGGTTCCAGCCATTTAAGCATTCAATATATAGTGTTGGAGCCATCTACATGGTTTTAATGAACCTTCCAAGAGCAGAAAGGTTCAAACCTGAAAATGTTTTCTTGATTGGAATCATCCCTGGACCAAAAGAGCCAAAAAGAAATATAAATACATATCTACAGCCTCTAGTTGCAGAGCTTAATCAGCTATGGACAGGTGTCAAACTGAAAGTTGCTGGGTCAGAGGTGTTAGTTCGTAGTGTTTTGCTATGCATTGGTTGCGACATCCCTGCTACCAGAAAAGTTTGTGGATTCACAGGACATGGCTCAAATCTTGGTTGTTCTAAATGTAAGACATTTTCCCCAGGAAACGTTGCAACAAGAATTGATTTTTCTGGATTTGCTCCTTGTGAACCCAGAACAAACAAAGAACATAGACAGCAAGCACAAGATACAGCAACAGACTTCTGCAGCTGATCGAACTGCCAAGGAATCACAATATGGTACCCTATTCAGCGAGCTGACGTTTTTACCTTATTTTGACTGTGTGCGTTTTCATATAGTGGACCCAATGCATAACTTGTTTACTGGAACTGCTAAACACGTGATGAAAAATATTTGGATTGACTCCGAAAAGCAAACCCCCCTAATCAATAAAAACCACCTAGGTAAAATACAAGACAAGATTGMTWAAGTCAAAGCTCCATCAAGTATTGGTAGGATGCCGAAGAAAATTGAAAACAGCTATGGGGGATTTACAGCTGATCAGTGGAAGAATTTTACAMTCATCTACTCAGTGTTTGCTCTTTGGGAYATTTTGCCAAAACCTGATTTGCAAATATGGCAAVACTTTGTAATGGCATGCTTTTTATTTTGTACTCCAGTTATAACAGAAAACAAAGCAATGCTTGCTCACACATACATATTAAAATTCTGCAAGGCAGTTGAAAACATGTACGGTACTGCAAAGATCACCCCTAATATGCATCTTCATACACATATTTTGGACTGCATTTTGGATTATGGTCCAGTATACTCTTTCTGGCTCTTCAGCTTTGAAAGGTATAATGGTATCCTGGGGGAGTATGGTACCAATCAGAAATCAGTAGAAATTCAACTGATGAGRAGGTTTACTTCTGATCAATTCTTAAGGGATATTCCATTCCCCAGTGCATTTCAAGAGAACTTTAAACCAATTTTTGAAAGACTATTGAGAAAACAAGCTGGAACTCYAATGGAAAATGCATGTGACACATCAACAGCAGAAAGTGAASATGTAGGTGCTATAGCCACGAGTCTTCTTTCCATTGGMCCACTCAAAAAAGGASTTTGGGCCTGTGATRGTAACTTATTTAACTGTAYGATGGCCTATTCTAGAGATTGCCTGGACCCTGAATTTTTACCCTTTTTAAAGGAGGTTTATAACAATTTGTTTGATGAAGTTGATGAATCATCTGTGACAAGCCAGTTTGAAAGATACTCTTCATGTTCATTTAATGCTGAGAAGTTAGGATCAAGTGACTCAATTGGCCAAAGATCATCATTTATATTGGCAAGATGGTGTAAGCTTGGTGGCAAAATTGACAGAAKTGGTGTTCACTTAAGGCCAGGAATAATCAGATACTTTCTCAARCAAAATGTCAAAATAGGAGGACAGTATGTATCTTGTGTTTTTGCTGTAGTCCACTGGTTTCAGGAACACCCTGCGAAAAGGGATCTTGGGCCACCTGTTGAAGTTTGGTGCAGAGATTTGTTTGAGATGGATGGTCCAGCAAATTTCATTCCTGTCCAAAGAATCCATCAAAAGTTTGTGCC